AGTTGACAAAGCGGGTGATGCGAGTTCGTACTTCGCCACCTCGTTGCAGGTGCCGAGAGGACTTGCTCTCTCGGACTTCGAGAGAGCGGAAGCCCTGACCGACAACCTTGAGATCTAGTTTCTTCAGGTGGACGACCCGTCGGACCAGGCAGTTACTGACGTAGTTAATTAGTCTATGCGCACATACGTGTTTGACAGCGCAATTGAACCGAAATTAACCATTCTTTTGGAGGTCCTTTAGGCCATCAAGAGACTCATGGCTGGCAAGGCTCCGGGCCCGAACGATATACCTTACAGTGTCCTTAAACACATACAAAGGTGCGCGATAACCTTTCTCACAAAAATGTTTAACGTAGTCATCCGCAGACAGTACTTCCCCTCGGCACGAAAACACGCTCACGTGGTGTCCATGATAAAGCCAGCGAAGAACCACACGCTACTCTCTGCGTACGGACCTATCAGTACTCTTGACACGGTTGGCAATGTCTTCGAGAGGGTCCTACTCAGTAGGGTACTTATTTAATGTTCTGTCTGACGACAGGTCCATATGAACAGGATCCTTCCATCCTTTTCTCGGACTGGGACCTGTTCATATACGTTCTTGGCAGATGATCCAGAAGTGGTTTGCCATTGCCTTCTTCTGTGTGTGAATGGAGTAATTGTTGGGATGCCACGGAGGAAAACTCCGTGTTGCCTAGACCACGGCCTTGTCCAACACAAGTTATAAATTCGGGCACCGCCGGGAATCGAACCCGAGACCCCAGGATTACAAGGCCAGAGTTCTAACCGCTAGACCACCGTGGCGGTTTAGTAGGGTACTACAGGAGGTAAACGAGAGAGGGCTGCTTCATGACAAGTAGTTTGGGTTTCGACACAGACATAACATGAACCTGCAGCTGGCCCACTCGTTGAATAAGTTAGCAGAATCTTTGGCGAGAGGCGGCTAACCGGCGCCCTTTTCCTGGATGTGGCCAAAGCCTTCGGCACAGTTTGGGTCAAAGGCCTCTGTTACAAGCTGTGAAACCTCAACTTTCCGTACTGTCTGGTGAAAAACATCTCATCCTACATTGCCTGCCGAACGTTCTAAACTTCCTTCCAGTCAGCCACATTCAAACGTCGTGCCATGAGGGTCGGAGTTGTTCAGCGTGGACTCGTCACCTCTGTGCTCTTCAGTCTGTATGTCAACGACATACCTATACCATCCCGCCAGTTCGAGCTAACGCAGTACGCCGATGACACTAGTCTCATAGCCACATCCCGGAGTCGAGACGCGCGCAAAAGCCCAGAGCAGTGCAATTTGTCGGACAGCCGACATAATGGGTCGCAACAACGCGGTATCTTGGGGTGACCCTTGACACCGGACTTACCTCGTCGGCGCAAGTCAGCCAGATGGGAAAGAGGGCAGCCTACTCCTTAACAGAAGTGGTCGGCCTCCCCAATCATGGAGGCCTTCAGCTGAAGTGATTTTCTTACGAAGTTTTAGAAACCTTCATCCAAAGCTTTCCCACCCCTCCTGGGTCCAGATCCCAGACAGTCCAACCAACCAACCAACATCTTTTCACAAAGGAAATGTTACCTGATGGAGGCAGCAAGGACCTCTAGAATGTCGATAAACTCTTATCAGACTACACGGTGCAACAACCCAGAAGACAGCCATCTTCAGATAACGTCGTCTAAACCTCAAATAGTACATAATTAATAATGAATTGGGGTGGATACGGAAAGAGGCGGCCATAATCCAATTTAAGGCAATTTCGTGGCATTTTCTTCGAGAAGTCTATAAAGACCACGATATTCCTGTCAAGATAGCAAATGTCCGGGCCAATATTTGAATCCGGGACGTCCAGATTATGGAGCAGAAGTTGAACACCGAACACGATCCGTTCTGTGAAGGCTGTTCATGTCCGTGCTTGTAGGCTTTCAACGTGCAAGGAGAATTGTATCGAGACATCACTTACGGACATGCGTACTCACTACAAATGGTCAGTAATGAATCATGTATTTTTTTTTCCCCTCTGTGACTGGACCGCGTCACGTTTTCCATAGAACTACACAGGGCAGAGAGCAGATAGACCCTTTTGATTTCATTCTCTTTAAGTGTTTGAGTTCACTTATTCTCATACACCGGCCATCACCCCACCCATCCTGCACAACATCACGGCCTCTACTTCCATTCCATTCACCAGCCTTTAGATACGGTCATTTCCCGACTCCTCCAAATAAGAAAAGGTCCATCTTAGTTGATGACCTCTCGGACTTACTGGACTCTTTTAAGCTGATTGAAATCGAGACACTTGGATCTGGGATGCCAACATTTTCTTTGTCTCTTTTTAACGCTGTCCATTTTTCTCGCCCCTTCCTAGTTAGTCTGTCCCGTCCCACTCCACCCCATTCGACCTGTGCTCTCGATTTACCGCCCAATAAACGAAGGGGCAGCTATTAAAAGTTCTGGCGGCAAGATCCATTATCGTTGACCAGCATCACCCAAGCGTGGAGCGATGGACTCGATCTCAGGTCCCTGGGGAAATTCATTTTCTGATGGGATTTCCATTATGCCACGCCATAATACACACGCTGCTGGGTGTAAGACAATGCCAGTCCCTAACAGTCCTCTCTCAGCAAGTTCAGTAATAACCGGAGTAAAATGGTGGCCATCAAATGTGTACATCCGTTTTTTAAGAAACACTTACTTTTTCGTTTTGGCATGTGGGAGTAAGGACGGAAAAGTTGTATCGAATGTGTGCATGAGTGTCTATATAATAATACTGGTGAGATATAATCTAATATTATCTGAGCCGATAACAAATGGCTCGAATAATTTACCAAATTTTAAGAAATGACTACCCCTTCTAGACCCCTGTAGTTCACCCCTGCTCACGACCCAGCGGAAAGTTCAGCTGAAATCTTTTGCATTTATTAAGCGTTCTCTTCTGTTTTAGCGTGAACTATTACACCTCATTGTCCAGTCCATCTGTCTGTTAAGTATATTCATCACGTCACAACAATAATTAGGTTACCTGGATCGAATTGTTTAAAAAATTACATCAAAATATCAGCGTGTCCTTTGATGTAATTCCACTGACGCTCAGTAGCTTAGACTGTGTAGACTAGAGTTACAGATGACTGATAATTAATAAATTGAAAATTATAAGGAAGTAAACAGTCGTAGCCTATTTTAAGACACTGTCTTGAGGATATATAACCGTTCTCCGATATTTGAACACAGGACCTCGCTGCCAAGACCCACGCCTCACTGCCATTGCAGTCGGCTTCTAATGGGCCACGACATTCTCTATTATCGAACAGTTTTTGTCTCGTAATACAAATAAACCTGTTATGTCAGACGTAGCCAATTGTCTGGGATATCTTTCCACAATTTAATTCCAACGCCGTCTTTAGGTTGCTGGTTGTCAGTATCCATATTTTTACTACGTATCTTAGTGGCCACGGTAGGGATGCTAATGTCCCGTCCACTGTACGAATCGTCACTAATATTGAAACAGAAAATGACCAAATTCAGTGTGCTTCAATATGACAACTGATCACTTGTAGACGAGAGTACAGCCAAATTCAAAAACGTGTGTATCAGATGTAACCGGAAAAAGAATCCGTGTTGACCATGGCTTAGCTGTTGGTCATGGTCCACGTCTTTTCGCCACGGAGACCAGGGTTTGCACCCAGGTCAGTCCACCTAAGATTTGTTGTGGACAAAGGGGAAATGAGACATTCTATAATCACTCAAGTAAGAACTCGGGGACGGATAAATATCTTACGTCGTTTCGTGGTTTTATTTTATTTAGTGTTCTGTCTGACGACAGGTCCATATGAACAGGATCCTTCCATCCTTTTCTCGGACTGGGACCTGTTCATATACGTTCTTGGCAGATGATCCAGAAGTGGTTTGCCATTGCCTTCTTCTGTGTGAGTGTGAATGGAGTAATTGTTGGGATGCCACGGAGGAAAACTCCGTGTTGCCTAGACCACGGCCTTGCCCAAGACAAGTTATAAATTCGGGCACCGCCGGGAATCGAACCCGAGACCCCAGGATTACAAGGCCAGCGTTCCAACCGCTAGACCACCGTGGCGTTGACGTTTCGTGGTACTATTTAGAAATAGCAGCAACAATTTTTTAGTTACTGTCTTCGTTCCACGACTTTGATTCTAACGAACCAAGATATTTTCTACTTTTTAAATAACTCGGAGATTCAATTCAGTATTCACGATCCTATCCTGAGCTTCTAGGTCTCCGAATTGGCCTCTTCCCTTAAGGTTTCCTGAATAAAATTAATGAATTTGTCATGCGTACTACATGATCCACCCAATTCACAACCCTATCGATACCTCGCAAATAGTACAAATTATGAAACTCTGCTTTAAGCAGTTTTCTCCATTCCTCTGCTACTACTTCTCTCTTGGGTTCAGTTACTCTCTTCACAAACCTAGACATGGATTTATTATTCTTTCCCTTCATGCATTTTATTTAAAAAACGCATATAGGGTTGGTCATTTCCTTCCGTCCGTATATTAAACTCGACAATCACTGGGTTACATCGGTTACTAGGACTATACCGCAGGTACCTTGGTTACACCAGTTACCACGTTTACCCCGATTGTTTACCTTTGTTACCATGGTTACCTTGCTTGCCTTCGAAGGCATATTTGTCGTTACCATGGTTACACGTGTGCCATGATTACATCGGCGAGTATGCCTCTTGGGATGAAGCCCTCCGGTTGGGCAGAGACCATTCTCGTTTGTGTTGTTAGGTTACGTTAAGTTATGTTAGGTTAGGTTAGGTTACGTTATGTTAGGTAGGTTTGGTTTGCTTAGGTTAGGTTAGGTTACGTTATGTTAGGTTACGTTAAGTTAGGGTAGGTTAGGTTAGGTTACGTTATGTTAGGTAGGTTAGGTTATGTTAGGTAGGTTAGGTTTGGTTAGATTAGGTTAAGTTAGGTTAGGTTAGGTTTGGTTAGGTTATGGTAGATTAGGGTTTGTTATTTTAGGTTAGGTTCGACCGGGATAAGATAGGTTAGGTAAGGTTCAAGATGTTTTCGACAAATCAATTTCAAGAGTTTATAGCCCACCCAGAAACAAAAGAAATGTCAAAAAAATTATGTGGAAATTGTATACTCCGACACGGATTATACCTCGCCAGTCTTGTTTATAATGTCTGCTTGAGTGGTTCAACGTTAGACGAGAGTTTGGTGAAGCGAAAGGCTTTGCACTGCCAAACAAAGTTACTTTTAACTACAAGAGAAGGGCAGATACATGTGTGCAGAGGGTGGAAGATGCAAGATCGTGTAAATATTGGTATCGTTCTGTCCAGTCGTCCCTCCATGCTTATTCCTTTCCCAGAACCAATCAGAGTTTACTTTGTTTCAACCAATAGCCAGTGTACACTAATGATGTCGGTATGAGGAATTAATAATTCAGTAATTGCGTTGGCCTTTGCTCTGATGGATGTGAGAGACGGCTGAGTTTGGATAGAGTATGTGGAAATTGGGGTTGTGGATTTTACGATAGGAAAGCCATGGAACACGAAGACGGTCTGGAAAATGTGCGCTATTACTCACTGCCAGTTCCATGAACATTCCTGTTCCTAGGGTTGTGCACGGGTCGTGTCAGTGACTCACAAGTACAATTAGTTTATTATCAACTGCAAACGACCTTTCGAAACTTTCCATTGTTTTTATCATTGCTAATAAATCAAAGAAGAACTCAATTCTCCGGAATGTAACCTTGTCTGTTTCCTTCCTAATTCCTGCCTTTCTTCTAATATACATTTTTCTCTCTTCTTTCTCGTTGCTTTCTTCCTCCTTTCTTCTTTGTTCCATATTTCCTTTTCTCTCTGTGTTTCTTTGTACTGTAGTCTGAGAAAATCAAATCAGAATCGTATTTGGGAGGTTTCCAGTTCGAGCCTTGGGCAGGGTGCTATCTGTGATTTTCCACATTTCCTAAAGACGACGGTCATTGCAGTGACTTAAAGCAACCACAGCCGTTTCTTCACACATTCCATCACAGTTTTACTCATTTTAAGAACCACCCTGTTGTGCCTCATTCGACTCTAGGACTTCATATTCGTCATGACGTAATAGTATCATTAATTTTAAGAGTACGCACGGTCTGGTCGTGTCGATAAGCATTTCCCTGCATTCTTTAAGCAGGTTATCATTCTGCCCACTTTCTCCCAAATCATTTCCAGTTCACCTCTCACCTCATGAGACCATAAAAAAGCTCTTCAGCTTACATAATTCAACATTAAACACGCCTTTGGACGGCCAGCATTCTATCTTCGTATCATGCAGGTCCCCTGTTTAAATCTCGGCCCCGGAGGCCAGCTGGCTGACAATTTTCCTTACCTTACCCTTCCCCATTCCCACCTATATCTTACTAGTTTCATTCTTACGTTTAAATTTAACTTTGTAGAAATATTTTCCTATATTCTTTAATTCTGCTGCATAAGTAAAATTTTATTCCCTAATAATCTAATCTTTATTAATGATAGAACATTTTTACACGGTACACAGAACCTCGTGGTCGAGTCTTTTTAAAGGGCGTCTGTCTTCCTCTCTCATTTCCAAAGTACCAGCCTCAAACCGTGCTAACTCATTTCCCTCATTTCTTATAGAGCAACCTGTGTCCTCTGTCCTCAGCCTGAGGACGCGACGTGTCGTGGTGACAGGACATGAAAATGTACGCATGTAACTTGTGTAGAGATCGTACTTTTAAGGAAACAACATGTTTGCCGCTCAAAACAATTTTCTGCAACCTGACGTGAGTAATCTGCTCAGTGGTATATTTCTCTACAAGTATAAACGCTGAAATATATTACTATAATCCTAATAATTCAATTGTAACACGATACAAATGTCAAATATTAGTGGTTTATATTATCGACTGCTATTTCAATGCGATTTAATCGGTCAGTGTGGACGAAGTTCGCTAAAACGCCTAATTCAAATGCGAACCATGAACAATAGGGATATTTATATAGATCGGGGGTATAGTTGACAGGGAAGGATGGTCATTACAGTTTACTAATTACATCGTTCTGATACCCGGGTAAGGCAAGCAGCAGCCCTGGACCGACCACACTCTCAGGTCTCTCTGTCCGTCAGCGTCAATCCATCAACATGCCGCCGACCTGGCTACAGTCCTTGGACGCCGTGGCTGTTTCTCCCTGCAGATGAAGACGTCGCCAGAACTGGACTGTTGCAATTGTAGCGAAACGTTCCGACCTGCTTTACTTTGTGTCTCGATGTAAAAGCGAATAATTACAAGTACAAAAAGTTGCGTCGTTATGCTGAGTCATTGTCAGATTTACGCAGAAGTTACTGTTTGAATTGGGATAATATTAAAGTGGATGTCAACAATTATGTGAAGATGTGGACTCAATTATTTTGGTATAGGATACGGCTAACTTGTGAATTTAGTAATAAAATTTCGGGTTCGATAAAAGGCAGGTAATTTATTGAGCAGCTAAACGAATGTTGATCTCTTAAATAGGACTCTGCTTTAAGGAGTTAATAACATTAAATGTACTACTTTAAGACATAAATATAAATTCTATAATATGTAAAATTGTTCTTTTGAATTTTATCCGTCGTATAAATTACAGAAATTTAAAACTACAACGTTTCGGAATCCGAAATCTGCTTCCGTCTTCAGGAAAAGAATGGTGTAGGAATACAGACAGCCTATCTGTTGGGCTTCTTAAGGTTTCTTTCCTGAAGATTTGAGGTTCTGACGGCGGTGAGTCTGAAGATGGCTGTCTTGTGGGTTGTTGCGCTGTGGAGTCTGGTAGAAGTTTACCGTCCTGATAATGGAGGCAGCAAGGACCTCTGAAACGTCGGTAATTTATAATTTTATAAATTACACAATGGATAAAGTCCTTTATAAAAGCTTTCCATGTTACAACGTACCATCGTCAGGAAACTTCAGACTTCGACTACAAACGACATGATGTCATTCGCCAATCATTTCAAATTTCTATCTTCAACCAGAAGTTAATTGTTTGGTACAGTGATGGAGGAATTTCTTCAGTGTAAGAATTATCTCTCAGGTTTCGGACTAAATATTTTTATGAGTTTTCTTCTCACCCATGCATGATACATTCCAAGCCCACATCGTAATCTTGATCTGATTATCCAAGTAATATCTGGCGGTAAGAATAATGAAGCCGTGTATTATCCATTGCAATTTCATCCAAAATCCTTTTACTTTTAAAAATGGCGTTTGTTCCGAACAAGTAAAGATGCTTATTCTGTGGGAAAATAACGATTGATTCGACGTTAAAGCAAGTGGTGCGTATAGTTACCTTCGTAAATTAGGAGATCATCTGTGACGTAAGTACACTGTAGTGCGTTCAGCAGACCCGTAGGAGAACATTGCAAGCGACAGTGAGGAATGAGAATCATTCCGTTTGTTAGACCATCCACTTTGCGGTCACAGGGCAAAGTAATTACTGAATTATTAATTTCTCATCCATGCCAGCGCAGGACGTGGTTGGTTGAGGGTCGAGTCATTATTTCTGGGCAACCGTGCAGTGGTAGAAAGGGCTTCGGTGGGCGAACGTTGAAGTAGGGGGAGGAACAAGACGAGAGAATATTCTGCCACCGCACAGAGCTTAAGACACGCGTGTTATTTATACCATACAGCCGTATTTTTCAATTATCTCCGAGTTTGCACTTCACGAAATGCTCAATACAGGTCTTCACATTCTTATTCTTCTTGCAATCTTGTCCGACTAGAATTCGTTTTAAATATTTGTCCTTCTTCCGGGTTGTACCGAGGAACAAACATTTGCATTCTGCCACAGCCTATTCTTCTAAGCTTTGGGTAATAAATAAGCTAATTAATATATTTTTTTCCAAAATTGTTCGTTTTTAATTATGTCTATCTGAAATGTCTTCGTTTGAATTTTAATTTAATTTTACTGGGGGTAAAGCCGGCCGGGTCGTGACGCTGACCACTCACCCCATCTAGTGCCGAGGTCAAGAATGAGTACGAGCTATACCCCTCTCTCCCCCCAAGCGCCTACATGGCGTATAGAGGGACAGATTTACGTTTTTATCCTAATTGCAAGTTGTTTATTGTTTCACATTGTCTCGGGACCAGTGGGGGGCTGTTTTGAACACGGTAATAAATTTTCGGGGTACCGTAAGAGTTTGGGAATATTTTTTGATCAGTCTAGGGATTGTTAATTTCTGTATCTCATGGAAATGTCGGTATTTTTTCTTTACTTTTCCTGCTACTATGATGAATTTATCATTATATCCCTTGATTATGTTATAGTTTATTATATGAATTACAGTCTGGGCTCATAAGAAATGCCACATAACATGCACTGAAAGTATTAAATTCGTTTCAGAATTAATTATAAATCATTTTCATCGAATTGGATGTCATTCCTTAAAAGTATTCACTTTTATTGTTTTGTGGAGTGGAGCGATCTGTCCGCCCTCTGACCTCATCGTGTCCGCCCTTCAAGCCACTGTCACTGCTTTTCAATCCCGTACGTTCAGCAACAAACCGGTCAAAGATTTTAAAAGATAATCATGACAAATTTTTGACTGCAAAAGGGTAATTACATCTTCAGAATAGCCGATCGCAATTTGGTCCTTTCTTTAAGGTCATCTTATCTTTGAGAGCTATTTAATGTTATCCTTCCATCTACGTCTCGGTCTCGCAAGCTGTCTATTCCCTACGGTATTTCTGACTAGTATTTTGTATAAGTTTCTCATCTGTCGTGTAGTAGGAATAAGTCAGGTTGCCAGCTCGGGCCGAAAGATGCAGCCTGCCCATATTCAGCCGTCACTTCACTCTGTGCCGTGGCTGCGGTAGTTAAGGCGTCGAGTTTCAATGATGACGGCGGCCATGATATCTGTCAAATAATTATGATCAAATAGTGGCGATAATGATGATAAGAGATCGATCCCGTTTCTGTGTTCCGGACAGCTATACCTTGATACGCTAGATATTTCCCTCCTGGTCCACTTTCTCTCAATAAGATTACCTTCCAGTCTCATTTCTTGTCCCCTCAATTAGAAAAAGAGTTACCCTGTGCACACGAGAGGTCAGTCTGCTTAGGAAACAGAGGGACAGAAAGGGAGAATGAAGGGAGCGAAACTAGAGGAATGACCGAGGAAAATAGTAGGAGACTCCGCCGATCAACTTCAGGCGCCTACTTCGAAAATTGGCATGATTTACGGACTATCATGACAAAAGTATTTAGCGGTTTTCTATTCCTAGCCAGACGAATGCATCAAATAAGCCACGACCACTATCTCTGACGAAAACTTACCGACTCTGATCCAAATCTTGTCTACCTCAATTACGAATTTAATACTGGATTCTGCCGGACTTCACACGTAAGGACGTCAGAACGCGATTGTAGACCTTCCCTTTGTGATCTTCACTGATTTTATTTCAACTCTCCAAAGCCTCAGCAAAGACGGATTAGTAACCATATGTTAGGTTATGTTGGTATTTCTGACTCACTAACAGGTGCAGTGTTCATTCAATTTACAAATCACTATGCATGCAGACAGACGTCAAACATAGAACAAATACACTTTAAAACCACCCCACTAGAGGAATATAGAATGAAAATTTTTCTGAGCACTGGGAAAGTGTATGGATGGGTTGTCCATCTCTGGCATTCGGTTTAAAACGAAGTTTAAACTTACACTTACGTCTAAATTAGTCATGCTTCGCAATAAGCCTTGTGGCTATTGCAGATTTGGACTCATACGCGAAGAAATTAATTGGACAAACGATGCATTTCGAATGGTTACCTCAGTTCTCCGCGTGTCTTCCTCCGACAAGCGGACAGACCTGCATCAGACACATGTGAAGGACAAAATACGAACAAAGGGAACTTCGATTCCTCGATGCATGTGACAAGTGTCCGAGGAAAGTACAAATTATGAGTGAACGTTAACAGGACTTTGGCTGACTCTACGTACATCTGCACTCGACTTTGTTGGATGAAGACCTAAAGGCACTGAGAAGATTGCAGGTGGAGATTACTTTGGTCCTTGAGTCACAAACAGGACATAAGAGAAATATTGTAAGTCAGAGGTAGTTGTGTATGGGGGGGTGGGGGGGGATGTTTTCTCCCGAGGGAACTAGGCGGGACACCTTGCGACACGCCCCTTCAGAATCAGCATCCCTCCTACAACCCCCCGATTGCTTTCAGAGCAGGACTTACATCAGGTTAGTCCCACAAGAGACAGCCTGCTCCATCTCTCCAGAAAACATTCACTATACAATTCGTTTCCATCAAGACGTTGTCCAAAAGAAGAGACACGAGGGTGGAGAGGCGAGTAGTGGATAAGAAAGATAGAAATAAAAAGAGTAAAGGAGATGGGTGGTGGGACAGAAACACGAAAAATCTCGCGGAAAATAAATGACCGCCCTGTACACAGCCTCTCACTCTCTCGCCCCGACGCCGCGACGCGCATATGAAATTCAATTCACTGCCTCTGAAGATTTCTCTTCAACTGGTAAAAAGGATGACCTGCCAGCACGAGGGGGGGAGGGAGGGGGGAGAGTGTGCAGTGGCGGTCCGTCGGTCAGTCACACCAAAATCGCTGCAGATCAGTCCCACCGGAAGAATCCTCTTACCCTGATCTGCAGTTCCTTCAAAGAATGCCTGTGGCATTTATGACGCTTTTGCATTGAAATGATCTCGCCTGCGAGCCTCTCCACAGAAACAAACACTTGAGAAAGAAATAGAGGGAAACAAACAGAATACTTCTGGAGGACGTAACTATCTCTTGGATGATTATAAAATTCCCAGCCACTGTCTTTGTAAGAGCACGCTAATTGTCCCTGTTTTGAGTCAGATCAATCCAATCTACAAGTTATCACTTTTTCTCTTTAACAAACATTTTCATATATATTAAATCTTGTCCGTCTAATCACAATAAATTCTTATTAAATATTAAAATATTACAATAATTAACATTTAAAATATCAAATGATGTTCTTTATCTTTGATATCTGATAAAAATCTGATAAAATGCACGCCAAAATAATATATAGAAATTGTATTTAAGTTATTATTGATTTGAATCTTTATATACACCTGAAGATAGTTCTTTTAGGAACTGAAACATGTCGTGAAAAAAAATGATGGTCTAATGTAAATCGAATATTTCGATGAAGAACATCATTTAATATTTTAAATATTTTAAATGTTAATTATTGTAATATTTTAATATTTAATAAGAATTTATTGTGATTAGACGGACAAGATTTAAACAATATATATTTATTATATCACAATATGACGCAACTTTACCATCTCAAACATTTTCATGTTATTTTCCCATCTGTGTCTAGTTTTTCCAAGTGAGCGCTTTCCTTAAGATTTACCTATCAAAACTTTGTACACATTTATCGTGTTTCTATTCGAGCTGCATTCCTTATACGTCTCACAGCCCTTAATTAAA